TCTCATTTTCATCTGTGGTCTAATCCCAACGGACTCCAAAGGCAGGATTAAACTTTTAGTTGCGTTTTTTAGGTTTTGCATTAAAATAAATGTATTTACTTGAAAGGAAATGTCTTAAATTTAGTATAAAAATCTGTTCCTACTTGGCGGAGATGCAGCAGAGAACATGCAGTAACATTGATTCTCCGGATGAACTTCGCTACCAAAAAATGCTGAACATACTTGCTTTTTCTTACACACTTCAATGTGCTGTTTACTGTGCAGCTTATGTTTTGCTATGCAAGTTATGTTTTGCTAATGAAAATTTTGTCAGTTTGCCACTTTTTTTTTTTAATGATATTTATTTTTTCTAGTGTCAGGTTACCCTCTTGCACCATTTATGTATGACGTTTTGTTATAAGATCTGATTAAGAATGATTTTGATGAGTTAGGCATGGCTGTAGAAGTATGTCAGTGTTGACAAGGTAGTTCTTGAAATGGCCAACTATCCTTTGAAAAAGCTAACTAAAGATTGGATGCTTTTAAAAAAAAAAAAAGGAAAAATAAAGGAAAATATGAGGAAAATTAGCAAACCCTAAGGTTAATTCTAGTCCATTCTTAACAGGAACCACAAATGTTTTCCTGGCTTTACGTTTTTAAGTTTTCTTTCCTGAAATAATTATCTTCATAATTGTGCATAAAATACACATTTTTGAGCTAGATATCTTTTCCAATGCTATATTTTGAAGTAATACTCTATTTTAATTACCAAAGAATTTAGGCATTTCTTTTTGAAAAGGGGGCAGTTTCTTCTTAATTAAAATGTGGTTTTGCTATTGATGTGCTATTGCTGATATTAAGTATTACATGATGATGATCCCACTTTCCTAGTGCTCCCCTGAAGAATATTGTATCTGTGTACCACCAGTAACCTTTCAGTGCGTGTGCACTTAGACCCCTTTCAGAGCTGTTGTGGTAACAACAAAAAAAATTACATAAACTTGCAAAAGAATTGCTTAATGGTATGAAGTATTCTGGTTTCTACCAAAACCCAATTACTTAATTTTGTGCCCTTCCTGGCCTACATAAATTATGCAACCCTCACATCTCAACATCAGTGAATTATGTAGCTCTGCACACACATCAATTAATTTTGGCCCCATCAACTTCCCACCTTCGGTGTGCTCCTAGCCTCAAATCAGTTTTGCATCTCCCAGCCGCGAGCGGTTAATTTTGTTCTCCCGGCAGCTCGTATCTGCCTGAACCTGCAGCCCCACTTCAACTCTTCACCCTCCCCCTCCTGTACACCCAAGCCACCGCCTTTTCCTGCCCAATTCCTCCTCCTCATCCAGCTCGGCAGCAAGGATCAATCCCAGGCAGCTTCACCTCCCACCTGGCCAACGGGTCAGGGCCAGATCTCGATGCACCCGGCGGGCAACGGGGCTGGTCCAGAGGTGACCCGGGTGTCCTTATCGCCCTCCTTGGCAGTTTTCACAGTAGAAATTGCAAGACTGAAGCTCCATCTTCTGGAACGGCCTGTGAAAGTCGTGGTGCACTTGGAGCAACCACCTCCAAAACCCTTCCCGTGGGGAAGCCTGCATCACGCAACGCCCCACTGAGAAGAGAAATAGCTTCTAGGTCTGTAAGAAAAGTGGAGTTGAGAAAAAAGGTGGTGCCAGCATCCATCAAACCCAGAGCTGCTGCCAGCAGCAGAAGTAAGCATGACCTGAGCCTTGGTGTTAAAGCTGGCACCGCTGCTGCAGGTGGCCATGTCCAATGCCACAGTAGGCTTCTATAAGCAACCAGAAAGAGCTTGTTTTCCTCCAGGGGAAACTTCAGTGTGCAAAAACATCAAGAGGGATATCTTGTTCCCTTATTGCTGACCTCTACGTGCAGCTTAGTTCTGAGTCCTGAATTATTTTGGCCAAAAAGAAAAGTATCTCCATGAGAAGTATGCAGAGACCAAAAGCCTGAGAGGGCAGTGTGATGTCCTGCAAATGAGAATGACCTTGACTTGCCGTTGCTCTCCGGTTGCTTTCAGACCAGCAGGCAGCAGAGCAGCTCTGCAGCCCACCTGCGGCCTCTCACCGGGGATTCGCCCTCCGGTAACGCGGGAAGGGTCAAGGCAGACCCCTTCCTCACTCTCTCCCTCTGCTTTTAGTTCCTCGGAAGCATAGAGGGGAGGGGGCCCGTGGCTTGCCAAAGGGACGGGGTGGTGACAGCAGAGCGAGGAGCCATCAGGCTGTGCCCAGGGTCACCACGTTTCCCGTCCGGCTGGACTGTCAGGAGGGCTGGTGGAGACCAGCTCTCAGTTCAATCTGCTTTTCTCTCCAGAGGCTGCAGGGAATTTGACTCAAGTGAGATTACAGAGGATTTTTTTTCTCCTCTCCTTTTTGTCTAGTGTCTATTTAAGCAGCAAGCGCTGCAGAGACTGACTTGTGCTTTTTTTGTACAGTTCCCAGCACATCTGGCCATCTTGGATAAGGTCCCTAAGCCTGATTGTAGCAAAAAGTAATGATAGCATGTTTTAAAACTTGGGCCTCCAACTATGACTACATATAAAACACAAAGCATTTGGGACAACCTGGAGGAAATACAATTTTTAGTAACTGAGGGGAAAAAAATAAATTCACTTTTTTACATCTGCAGTTGTGCTTTGCAAGCGTGGGTGCTCCGTTGTGTTAGAAGACTGTATCTCAGAACTGAAAGCTGATGCAAGGCAGGGGAGCGCTTGCTCCCAGCTGATTGGCATCAAGCATTTTTCCTGTCCCACTTGCACAACAGCCATGGTCATTCATCAGTGTGAGGCTAAGCTGGCTCTAGAAAATGTCCTAATTATCTAGGCGTCCTGATTAAACCTGCCTTGATTTAAAAGAGGCACACCACCGTACTCATGTGAACATTTCTTGTTTCTTCTAAATAATAGAATTAGCTGTGGGCATTTCCTTAAGAGCATGCAGAACACAATTGCAGTATAATTCCTCTCCCTCCAAGCCTAGTCTTGAAACATGCAAATTTCTCTTTCAAGTGTGTTGGCAAAAATGGTAACATCCTGATACACACACGATTTAGACGCTGAATTACACAGTGATTGAGTTATCATCAGTGAGTTGGTTTCTTTGGTGAATATATCAAGAGTGCTGTGGAAAGTAGCACAGTCTGCTGAGGAAATATCCGTGGATGGCTTGCTTCTCGCTCTCTTTTGTAGGGATCCAGCATTGGCCACTGCCAGGGACAGGGTACCGAGCAGGATACAGACCTTTGGTCTTCCCAGTACAGCCTGGCTATATCCTTACGTAGCTTGATGCACCACACCGCAGAGCCGTGTTCTTTCTGCTGAGCGTTTTCATGTTTCATGTTTTAAAAATAACAAGACATCTCTTAACATTCAGGATACATTTTTCCACTCTGAAGCACCGCAACAGTCTTTTTAAAGAAACTCTAGGAAGGGTGTTAACTTGATCAATGCTGCGCAGGAAGGAAAGCTCTTTCCTACTATTTTTTCAGCATGACTTTCACTGACATGATCAGGCTGGGAAAAGACTTATTGGCTGACAGCCCAGGACAGCCATGCAATATCTCTAGTCATCTGGAACTCAACCTACTCTGCCCAAGGGAGAACATAACATAAAAACAATTTAGGTTGCATGCTGAATCTTATAAACATTGTTCAGTTTTTTAAAAATAGTTTAAATACTATTTATGTGCATTTGCTATGTACAGTTTTGTTTGGGGTTTTTTTTTCCAAATGTCAAGTAAAAAAGGCTGGAATAGTTTTTGCTTTTTTACTGTAGATGATTTTCAAACATCTTGGAGATTTTTAGGAACATAGGGAAATGAGCTTCCGCTCTTCTCATAAATTTAAGAGCTTGGCTTCTCCTATGTATCAGATAGAATTGTTTTATATATAGATTAAAAGTTTACTTTTTGACCCCATCTGGCAAGCATAGAGTCACAGAAACACTGGTTGGAGGAGGCTTCCAGAGGCCCTGCGGTCCTCCTCCTGCACAACGTGGGACTATCACCAGCACCAGCTCAGGGAGGGCTTAGCTTCATCTGGCTGAGCCGCAAAACACCCAAGTACAGAGTTTCCGCAGCTTCCCTGATGACCTGCCGGAGGCTGCGCCTCTCTTCTAGAGGTTTTTCCCTCCTGTCCAGTCTGGACCTTCCACGCTGCCCTTTGTCCCCTCTTACGTTGTCTGTTGCTGCTGCCCAGAGTTTGCTCTGTGACCTTCCCACCTCCCCGGTGTATATACATAATCTGAGTAACCCTGGGAAACCAAAGTGCAAGAGCCAACATACATGTATGAAACTGCAGTGTTGGGGCCTTAGCATGTAACTGTGTTCATTTCTTGAGTTTTCAGTTGCCTTGTGGCACAAGAGGAGGAAAAATGCAGGCTTTTCCAAAACTTCAAAGCTGATGCTAAAATGTATTAACTATAGTGCTTTTGCAAGTTATGTTTTTTTTCTCTCCCTTTTTGAAGCTTAACATCACTGGCCTCTGTCTATTGTTACCTTATTTTCCATTAAAAAAGCTGTCAGAGTAATCCGCTCTTCTGTAAGCGTGTGCAGCTTTAATAATTTAGGACAAAGCAACATGATTCCAGATTGTAAGCTTCACTACAAAAAACTTTTTTTCTCCTCTCGTCTTGATTGAATATCTGAACTTGGGATGTGTCCATTGCTACTTGTCCTTCTGCCAAGTCCTAACATTCCAGCACACCTTGCAACAAGCCTAAAATTATTATTTTAGGAAAATGACTATGACTCCTTTATGATTCCGTTATGATTCCTTTTTTCCATAAACTGGTATTTCACAAGCTGAGTAGCCTTACTGTCTTTTCAGTGACTGATCCATTCTAGCATAGGAGAATAACCCCTCTTGCATATGGCTTGATTGTTCTTGTGCAGCGTCTTGCTTTTGCTGAAATTGTTGGTGGTGTTGTTTTTAATTGAGTTGTCATTTCTACTTTCTTGATGTGCCACGTGCTATAACTTTTCCTGTGATGTTTTCATTGCAGGCCTTGCTGAGACCAGGGCGAATAGACAGAATTATCTATGTGCCATTGCCAGATGCAGCCACTCGCGGGGAGATCTTCAAACTTCATTTTCAGTCCATGCCAGTCAGTGATGAAGTCTGCTTAGCGGAGCTCATTCAGCACACACACAAGTACTCAGGAGCAGAGGTAAAACTTTCTGAATGGTAATGGTGCACAAAATGGTGTTTTTAAAATTGAAATGAAGTCTCATCCAGATACCATTCCTTGAATCTTTTCAAAGTGTTGGGGGGAATTATGAAAGGGAATGTTTCAGAGATTTCTGTGTTTCTGCTCAGAAAACAGAATTCAGTCTGGTGTTTTTTCCCTTGAAGATCTCCATGAGAGGGCTGTTGCCAGGCGAAGGGCCCCTTCCAGGGTGAGCCTTAGCATGATCAGGGGTGGACTGATTAGGGGTGTGTTGCCAGGAGGAGTGGAGGGAGGTGGGGGCAAGTGGCCCCAGACTGCCCAGACAGTTCACCTGGGTGTCCTCACATCTCTGGAATCTTTTGCTTTTAGGATTGTGACCAAGAGCCTCTTGAGGGAAGAGAGAGAGTGTTATGAGACAGTGTAGAGGAATTGCAAGAGAGTCACTGGTCACTTTGAAGCTTGTATTTTCCTATTCCATATAATCAAGACCTCACAGCTGCACTTATTCTTGTAGCTCGTTGCTGTTAAGTTTGTCAGCTTCTGACAATGGACATCAGACAATTATTTCCTGTCCTGGCTAGAAGGAGAAACTTTCTCAGATGCTGCTGCCTGGCAGTTATAAGCATTGGTACTCTGCTTCCTGAGTGTTATTCATGTCAATGTCTTGTGAAAGGATATTTAATTTTTTCCTCATTTTGATTAATTGAAAGTAATTATATTACTTCAAAAATTCAAAGAACGTTATTAAAGTTGCCAATTCAAGCTCTTGAAAGGTACGAAATACCAGAATTAACATTTCCACCTTACTGTAGCCAGTCCTAGTGTACGCATTATTGCACCATCTTTAAATACATAGTAACCTTCTACTTTTTCCATAGCAGAGTAGAAAATGTGATGTGCTTGCCTTGGTTCACCCATCTTTCTGTGTGCTGTTTATGAGGGCAGGGAAATAAGCTAAACTTTTGTCATGGTCCAAAAGAGAGGATGACTGTGGAGCATTTATGTGATTCCTATAATGCTGAAGGCCCTTCTCAACAGACTGGTCATTGGATATGCTCCCAGGCAAGACTTTTGCTCGTTTAGCTATCACTTAAACACTGGTATGTTGTAAAGGGCTGCGTTACCTACTGGTAACCTCTGGCTGGTGAGGGCACTGCTGTGAGTGCTCCTGGTCCAAGGGATGGGGTCTGCCCTTGCCACAGGCAGCAGCGGTGCCTGGGCTAGCCTCCAGCCTCGGTCCGGGAGGCTGTGTCACGGTGTGCACCAAAGTCAAACCCGCGAGAGCTTTTCTCCTCCGCAGCGGCGGCAGCAGCAGCGGCAGAGGACAAACTGTACTCTGGGAACGAATGAATGAAAGCTGCATAGCGAGCAAAGCTGTTTTGTGTAGCACATCTTTTTGCCGCAGAATGTGGGATCTCATAATGAAAACAAGGCAATAATAAAAAGGATCGCAGGCTTGAATGTTGGTCTGGAAAACTGTCACAGCTCTACTGCCTCCACGCTTTGGAGTAGTGACTTGAAACAGTGCTGGTTTTTTACCCGGATGTCAGTGATACGACTTTTGTTGCCCTGGGAAAATTTATCTGCCTCTGGCTGAGTTACAATCCTCCAAAAACATAAATATAAACATATCCTCTGTTGTGTGTAGAAACTGTCTTCTTACCAGGCAACGACTGTAATGCTTGTATTTCAGAAATTCCAAGCATATGGGGATTTCCTTTGGATCTGGATCAGCTGAGGCTCTAGTGGTGAATTCCTGTGCCTGGTTGATAATGAATCACAAATGTCTTGGTGCTGGCTTTGTACAGAACCAAAAATAAGTTAATGGGTCATTGAGTGCAGCTACAGACTAGTTGCAGGGGAAAAAAAGCCTGCCTGTTTCTAATACAGCATTTCTCATGAATTTTGTTCTTTTGCGTCATTCAAAGAATTATAATAACTGGGATGTAAAGAGTAAATACAGAAAAAGCCTCAGTCAGTGTTCCTTGGAAGAATATATAAAAACTCTTGACAGTTGGCACGCACAGCGGCCAGTTTCATTAAAGCCTTTTCTTCTTAGTGTCTCCAGCTTCCCAGCTTTACAAATAGTTTCCGCTGTTGAATGGCAAGTTCCCATTCCACTGTTCTACCCTTTGTTTAGAAAAAGAAATGGAAAATGCCTGGTTTTGTGACTAGAAGATGCTATATGAATAGGGAACTGTGTGTAAAGATGCGTTGAATCATCCTGACATGAGCTGAATAAACAGCAAGTAAAGTGGATAGTTCAGTATGCATCTGGCTTCCAACTTGGCCTTTTTTCAGATCAGATATTTGTATATTTTTGCCTGTCGTCACTTATGACCAGTTATCTCTATTCACCTGCTGGATGTACGTTTCTCGTAATGAGTACCTTTAAAGATACATCAAGATAGCAAAATAGGGTGATTACTTCCCACTGTTTCATGTGAGAGAAAATGGAAGATAATTTATGAGGGTGAATTACAATTTCCTTCTGTCGTGTAAGTGAAGTTTAATGTAAAAAAAAAGTGCATTAGAGGAGCAGTGTCTGTTCAGTTAGCTTCTATTATGCTAATAGTATAGGTCAGCTTTCTAGAAATATTTGGGTTTGAGTTCGATCTTTATTTCTAGGCCTTTCTGAAGTAGTGCTCTGCAGCAGTGCTTGAGGCTCTTCTTCAGGGATACTTCAGTATCTGTAAATCAGGAAAGTAAGAAGTTGTTTTTAAAAGTTTCTGAATAGCAAGGTTTGGCCTCGGAGCTGATGTTGACACCAAGGATTGTTCCCTTCTCCCTCTAAGGCAACTTCTTAGGCTGCATCTCTGCCCTGAAAGCATCTGCCTTTCCCCAGGACCACCTCAGTCTCGTGCGCAGGGTAGGTCTGGTTGCTGCAAGGACAGCTCTGCAGTAACTGTGTGTCTCATTTACCCTCACATGCAGACCAGCAGGTTTCACCGGTGTGGCAGAGGAGCAGTCAGAACTGCTCTTGTCTTTGCCCCCAGCTTTTTTTTCTAGGAAATCTGCACTGAAGGCTGTTCCTGGGCAGCTGATGCCTGGCATAGCTCAGCAGGAGGCTGTGCTGTGCTAGCCCTTGCTTGCACCTCCAGCTGCTGTAGCATTAGCAAGGAGCACTGGTAGGCAGGGAGGAGAAGTCTAGTCCTTGAAAGTAATAAAAATGGTTAAAGCAACAAGTGTCATGCTGTATTGAAACTTTTGTAAGGTTCATTCTAGTGTTCCTGCATTTTATTTTGGGCAAAATCGCCTGAGATCCAACTTTTATAAAGCTGATGATTTTTTTTTAATGACTTTATATAATTGGGATGTCTTCACTCAGAGATTGTTCAGTTTGATCATAGCTTTTTCCTAGAGCATTTTCTCTGTTATTTCATGCTGGGAAGTTTTATCTGTTTGATTTCTCACAGTGCTTTCTATAAAGTACGATTAATTAAAGATCCAACCACAGAAGTATTTAAAAGCAATGTTTTAAAGTGCAAGCAGTGTGAATTCTTTGGGTCTCATTTGCTTGCTTTCATGATGCTGCTACAGCCAGCTTGCTTTAGGAAAGATGGACTTTCCACAAATTCCCATGCTCTTCTTTTTAAATTTGGGGTTCAGATTAGGTTTTTTATAATTATTGGCTGCTCTCTGCTGTAATAGAAAACAGCAATAGTCTCAATGCACTTTCTAGTGCAAGTAAGAACAAAATCACGTGGACAGTTTCTGATAGGAAATTGCTTGTCCTGTAATTTTTAAATAATACATTGTCTCAAACAGAAAAGAAAAAAGGTTGTTGCTGGAACATGACTTAGCCTAGAGGAAGGACACCTGCCTTTATAAATGCAAAGACTTGTGTCTTCATTAGATCTGTGTGGGGAAAAAAAAGATTGCATCATTTGCCTTTACAAATTAAGTGGAAAGGGTGTGTTTGTCTTCAAATCCTTGGCATTTGCACTGTGAAAAGGGACAAGCAAGGGATGAAGACAGTGTTTCCCACTGTAGAAATATTTTGTTCCAGAAAATAGCTGATAAAAAGGAAAATAAACCCAGTAGAAAAAGGAAAATAAACGCAGTAGAGTGAGGGATCTTATTTTATTGTTTGAACCCCAGTCAGATTACGGTTTCGTTACAGTTTAGGAGGCAGTAGCAGAGAGGGAGGTTTTAGGCAGAAACTGAAACCAAATGTTGAGTTATTTTGAGATTAAAGTTGGTTAGGAGTAACAAAAAATCAAATATTCTGAATACGATGACAATCTTCTTAAGACAAGTGTGCTTATAAAAGTACGCTAATGGGACTGACTGCTTTTAAACTGGTGGAAAGCAGGTCATGGTGAAAGCGAAGGCTGGCATTGTTTCTATAGTAGTATCAGTTTCCATGCTTACAGGACACAATAGTAAAGCGGGAATCTGGGAACCTGTAAATCTTTCACTGGTTCTTAGTCAAAGTAGAATAGTTAATGTAAAAAATATCTTTCTCACTTTGCAATAACTCTCAATGGGAATGCAGAGAATGAAGGGGATAAAAAGCAAGCCAATGAAGGTTTGCTCTGGCTCAAATGAGAGCATAGTTGATGCCAAAAAGTATCTTTGCAGCAGCACACTAGCTCGAATCAACTAAAGCCTTTGACTCTTAAAATATGTATTCCAAAACATGCATGTTCTTGTTTATCAGATATTGACATGTTTAAACTATAAACTTTAATAAAAAAACACTCCAAACAACCAAAACCTCCCCAAACTCCTCTCTTTCTTATAGAGGAAGGTACCAACTACAAAAAAAAGTGAGGATGCCTTCCATCATAGGTGTACAGGAGGGTAAACAGTCTTTTAAGAGATTGGGGAAAATTTGTCTCTTTAGTCAAAAGCATCTACAGTAAAGGTAAGAGAGCACTTAGATATAGAGGGGGGAAAAAGGACATCCAACAAATTAGGATGTGTTATCTTCTTTACATCTAGTTTTTCACAGAGGGAAAGATCTTCCAAACATAAGGGAAAGGCTTTCTGCTTAACATTTTTAAAGGCAACG